AACTTCCGCCTGCGCTCCTGTCCTCCAATCGTCAACCTTGGAACCTGGCAGGACTTCGTTTGCTTCCGGACCTCTGTGATGAAATCTTTCTTTGCAACCCTCGTTCCTGCTCCGGTATTATCACCTTCTCCACTTTGTCCTCTTTTCTCCCACGTTCCCTCTTTGTCTGTACCCTCTGGGCCTCTTGAGGATTGTATACATTCATTTGCGGCCAAAGATGCGAATATGCCCTCCAACGTTATCTGTTGTTGAAAGCCCCTTTCTGGAGTTGAATTGTGCCATACTCTCCAGCATACCCGGTCCTGTCGCAATTCTGCAGCCTTGCCATATACCAGCCAATTCTTATAGAAAGTCGGCCTCTCCTTCTTCTGCTGTTCTTCCTCTTCTGTCCAGGCTTGCTTGATCTTCCGCCAGTTCAGCGATTTAGAAAGCGCTGAAAATGCTTAATGCCACTACTTCAGATAACGTTGAATAAAATTTCAAAATGTTCAGCGTTCGCGCCCCCTGTCCGATTGCGCATGAACACTGAACATTCTGAAGACTTTTAAGTGGTGAATACACTGAAAATGCTGAAGTACACCCCCCCCGTCTAAGTGGCTAGTGTTGAAGACACTGAAAATTTTGAAACCCCCTTGCATCCCCCTCTTTTGTTTTCGTAACGGGGGGGTGTACTTCAATATTTTTTGTGGATTCACCACTTCAAAACCTTCGCACCCCCTGTCCAGGTGTGTATGAGCGCTGAACATTCTAAAGACTCTGAAGTGGTGAATCCCCTGAAAATGCTGAAGTTGACCCCATCTGTCCAACTGTGTAGGAACGTTGAAGTTATGAAAATTTGGAAGTGGTGAAGATGCTGAAAATTGTGAACCCCCCCCTGCCTCCCCCGGTTTTGTTTCTGTAAGGGGGTGTGTACTTCAACATTTTCAGTAGATTCACCACTTCAAAACCTTCAGAATGTTCAGCATTCGCATCCACCTCTCTAGGCTTGCAGAAACGCAGAAGATTTTGAACATTCTAAAGTGGTGAATCCACTGAAACGATGAACCAACCCCCCCTCACTACGTTTGTAAGAACGCTGAACATTTTGAACATCCTGAATTGAATCCAGTGCAAACTTTGAACCCACCCCCCCTCTCTAGGCTTGTACCCCCTTTGTCCAAGTGTTCAAAATGTTGAGTACACCCCCCCTTTCGGAGTGTCTATGCCCGAGTGTGTATGAAGGTTGAAAGCATTTTATGTAAACGCTGAATGTTAGAGGGCCCGTTAACCTTCTCTCATTATTTCTGGATGGAATGAGAGAGAGAGTTTGGGGTTTCATGCTTTTTTTGTGGAGCTGTGTATAGCCCCCAAACACGGCCTTGCTAAGCTCTCTGTTCAAGCGGATCGACGCAGTTAGGGACAGGACCGTACTAGCGGTCGTGCCATTGGGTCGTGCCATTGGATGTTCATGGTTGAGTGGGTGTGTGGAGTGGGTTTTATGATTGTGTCAGATTAGTTTCTCAGACTTTCTGCCATTCTTGTCAGGGGTTTGGATCGAAAGCCGGACTAAACAATCTGGGACAATCATGTTTTTCTTTGTGGAGTTGTGTATATCGAACATGATGACACGAACGTGGGGAACCTAGCACCTTCTATTATATTGCTCATCTGTACATTTTTTGCTTATGGATGGTTTGTGATGGCATGTGGATGGAATGAGCGAGAGAGTTTGGGAATGTTGATAAACACACACATACCAACAAACGAGCATCTCTAAGAGAACAGACAAAATACATGCCGAAGATCTGAAGATTATACCCCCCTTTCACTCTGCCTCCTTTCATAACGTGCAAGTTTGTCATTAATGCACACGGGAATGCGAGCAGCTGGCGCTCAACCACAATCAACGTGGCCAGCCTTGTATGTGAGAGGCACGGTAAAAAGGGAGCTGCAAGAACAAATAGAAGGTGTAGCCCACGGTCCTGCCTTCTGTGTCATCGGGTACCCCACGCTCCTGCCTTCCAATTATGATGGTTTGCGACTGTCCACTCGGGCCTCCCAGCAGCCATCATGGGGAGGAGCGTGGGTGAGTGCAAGACTGATGCTCCCCGGAACAGAATGGAGCCGGTGGAATATGAATAGAACGGAGACGGAACCCTCAGGCCCCATTTTCTGAAACAAAAAAAAGGGGTACCCCAAGGAAAGCAAAGTAAAGATAGTCAAGAAAGGGATATAACGGATCTACTCTGCTCCATGTTGCTTGAATAGAGGTAAAACTTCTTTCATTGACTGCAACAGAGGTAGAGCTGCATGGATTTTGGATCTATTCATCTGGGTGGAACAGCGGACAGCAGCTGTTGTGGTGAAAACACACACACAGCCACCCACCCACCCACACGCCCACACAGACACATCCTGAATATACAACACAGCCACTACATGATGCGCATCGACTTGGTAAATTTTGACACGATGTATGGTTGCGTGTCGTGTGGCATGGCCGGTTGCACATTAGGTCCAGCCCAGTTTGACCTGCCAACCCATTGCTTTCCCTCCCCGATTTGGCCCCAACGGCAAGGCCTGCTAGGGGATGTTAGGTCATGACTCGTAGGTTCTTTGAACCACCAGTACCTCCGAGCCTCTTTTTGCCGAGGTGGACTCTCGCTGTGCACCAAGCTTTGCTGAAACGCTAGAACAGCCTTTTTCTTTTCCTTCTTTAGGCTGGCTCCGCCAGCTGTTTGGATCCGGTGGCCCTGAGCCTCTGCAGAACCTGGAATGTCACATTTCTATTTTGCAAAGTTTTGCCTGGGAAAGTTAGTGGTGGTTTAAGACTAACGTCTTCACCCAAATAGAACGCCCGACAGAGTAGTCACGCCCTGGATTGGTCTGCGACTGACCAGCCAATCATTTCACCAGTCGGCACCTACTGGCCAGCTGTCAATCGGCACCCTGCAAAAAAAAAAAAAAAGCTTCAGCAGGGTCCATAGCCCCCAATAGGCCCACCAACACCTTTATACACCTTTATACACCCCTCCGACACCCCATACTGCCCCCCAACACCCGCATACCCCCTCCATATCCCCCTGTACCTCCCCCTTCCCCTTCCCCCCCCCCTCCTTTCCACAAAAGTTTCTCAGCGGATTTGGGCTGTACTCAGCAAGCGCAGTACAGCCCCAAACTCAGGTACGAAAACAATCGGTGGATGGCCCTTTAGAGACTGGTCGGCCTGACCGGCAGGCAAGAAAACCGTCGGCCGTCAGGTTCTGCGGTAGGGGATCCGACAACCCTGACACTTGGATTTTGGAAGCATGAGTGAGTGCGTGAAGGGAGGCCTGGAGACTGGAGGTCCTGCCCAGGGCCCCTAACCTGGCCCCTGGGACCCGCATAGTGTGGGTCTGGGTACCTCATAAGGGTTTCCCAGCTGCTATTTGGGCCCTGGGTGGGGACAGGCATTCAACTCCATGCAGCCCCTGCAGCCCCCCCCGGTACCCCGACTAGGGTGATGGGGGTGCGAGGCTACACTGCTCTTAAGCTCTTTCTTTCTGATGTCCATACTTGCCGTTAATATGCAACCCGACTGCCGCCTCCCAGAATAGATAGGGCCTATGGCTTTCCAAAAAAAAAAAAAAAAAAGTACATGTAGCAAGTTACTAGTGACATACCAGAATTCAGTCCATCATAGTGTGAACTTTGAAGTTTATAACTTCAAACCTTTTTCCACCTTCTTGATACCCTTTCAGACCAAGCCTCACCAAGGGCCTCCCTCTAATGTGCGAAATGAGAATGAATCTTCTGCTGTAACATGGGAACGTACGCCACCATGTTTTTTGTCTTCTGTGCCTGTGGTGAGTAGAGGACTGAGGCCCCTCAATAAGCTCGGACTTGACCTTCATCTGACAAGTGCAAAATAAACATACTGATACCGAACTGAAAAGATGTCTTTGTTTGCCTTTTGTCCGGATTCCGCAGGGTTTTCCGAGGCAGACATTCTGGGCTGTACGGCCTGGTAGTATAGACCACAGCAATGATGCCCAGGTTGGGCACTTGCGAACGACAATACTGGGAGAAACCAAGAAGATGAAGACTGAAGCCTTGCAAACAGAGGAACACGAGTTCAACGTAAAGAACCTACCGTCCTCACCCGAATAGTACGCCTGGTCGTTATAGCTGTATCTGGACTGAGAATTGCACCAAATATGGCTATAATGACCGGGTGTTCTATTCGAGTGAAGACGGTAGCTAACATTGACCAAGAAGTTTGAAACGGAAGCTTTGCAAGCAGGCAAAAACCAGTCAAATAAGAAAGCAAATTATCTGCCTGGAAGGCAGGTTGTTATTCACTTGCCATGAATCCGGAGCATCCATCCAGCTGTTACTACCGTCTTCCCGGGAATGGAACGTACGGTCATTATGCCTGTATTTAGGTCAATTTTCAGTCTATATACAGCGATAACGACCATACGACATACGTTGTATTTGGGGCAAGAAGGTAGTGAAGGTGCAGTTAGCACCCTTGAATACCTAAACACCAAATGGACTCAGGAAAACCTGTTCCTGCTACGTCTCCTTTATCCAGGGTGTTCTGACGATGTTGGAAACTTCTAATGCTCGTTCTCGAGCCAGAGTACTTTTCCTTTTGATGGTGGCAAGAGTAATCTTCCTTTTGATGGCCTGGATGCTGGAACTCAACGATAAAGTTAATGGCACATCCATTGAACTCTGAATGACAAAACGGAGGGGAGGTTAGAATTGGGACTGCGGAATGATGAACAAGCTGCCACTCTTCAACCCCCTGCCTGCCTTCCTTCCTCTAAAAGGGAAAAACTTGTGAAAAGGAAAGAAGGGTAAGAAAAATCTGGATGTCTGAGTGAATGAAGGAAGACAAAAAAGAGCAGCATAGGGGAGAGAGAGATTGCACCACGAAGGGCTCTTGATTATTGAAAGTCTTGCATGACCTGAGAGCATTTTGTTTCCTTCTGCGTTGGCCCTCTCCGTTTTGTCCTTGATGTTTTGTTGTCAAGGTCGTGATGCTGCCGTCTCACCGCAAGCACCAATTGATGTCAAACCACCTGGACCAGCAGATTTTTATCTGGATCAGATGTTCTTGTTTGAGACCTCGCAAGCCGCCACATCTGTGGACTCTGGTACGTCCATAATGCCACCTGCATCAACAATGCCTATGGGGAATACCAAAGGCCCGTTTGATCGGCAGAATTCCACCCAAGGGACACATCTGAACACGGCAATGACCGCAGCTGCTGCAGTGACAGCACATCATTCATCAGCTTCAGCAACTTCCATTCTGTCTGGCTCTTCACCAAGCTCATGCATTCTTCCAATCTCAACGAGCATCACATCTTCAACAATCTGCACTAGCTTGCGCATACCACGCTCGCCTATTGCTCTAATTACAACCCCCTCTCTCCAGTCTCCATACTCAACGTCACTGGGAGCTCAGCTCATTCAAATGCCTGGAGTATCAGCATCTTCGTCTCCTCCGCTCTGTTCCAGTACTATTGGAGGGAGTTTCAATAGTGGAGTGCTGCTCTCTCCTCTTATGGGTATTGGGACAAACTTCTTCATGTCGCCATCACCAAGGTCCAAAGATCTGATGGTTGGGATGTCGCCACAACAGATACCGTCACCTCCAAGCAAACCAGAGGAGCTTTCAGTGGTGCCTGATATCTTACGAATCGATGTAAGCATCTCTCTCTCTCTCTCTCTCTCTCTCTCTCTCTCTCTCTCTCTCTCTCTCTCTCTCTCTCTCTCTNTCTCTCTCTCTCTCTCTCTCTCTCTCTCTCTCTCTCTCTCTCTCTCTCTCTCTCTGTGTGTGTGTGTGTGTGTGTGTGTGTGTGTGTGTGCAGCTATCCTTCCCCTAACCTCTAGCTGTTGTCCTTGCCTTCCTCAGATTTCTGAAACACCTCTCACTCGTTGTGATTGCCACTCCCTGTCGTTTTGTGAACCCATCCCACTTAGCCTTTACCCTGTTAAAGCTTTCCCCTCCCACTTCCCCTTCCCCTTCCCTCACACTGACCCAGCCAATGTGCACCCACGCCTCATTTCTTCTGCCAGAGGATTGCAAGAAAAATCTAAGCTACGAGCAGCACTGCGTATATTCCCACTGCTTAAGCCTCACTCCACTAAAGTCTATCAATAGTCCATTTTAAATTTTGCACCTGAAGCTTGTTGTCTTAATCAATTTCGAACATGTCTGAAGTTCGAAGTTTTGCTCTGAGGTAACATTTCAGTCCTTCAAGTTGTAGTTTGATTAGTTAGCAAATTCCAGAGTAACCAACTGTAATCAGCTATGAATTGGACTGTCCTGTTAGATATAGCCGTGTCAATTTTCTTTACCTGCCTGGTGGCTGGATGGCACACGCCGACAGCCGTTGATCAAAAGCTTGGGAGTGCAGATCATGTGGACATAATAAATATTGTAATGAACCCAGACTGGAAGATACTCGTCAGACGTCGAAATGAAATACAACTCAGATCTGGACAATGTCTCCAATAATCATGAATGTGACCTCTGATACATTGTCGTGTTACCAGTAGACGAAGACAGTGGAGGGGGAATAGACAGATAGGAGGGCGGAAGAGATAGTAACATCAATGACCATTGAGGAGATAGCCCAACATTTGCCACTCCTTCTCCGAGCTTCCCCTCGCCTCCACGTCAGCAAACAGTATCCAGTAACGAGTCTGACAAGTCCTGATCACATATAAGTGCCACGTGGCACTGTTCTCTCGTGAAGACAATGGAGACAATCAACAGCGCACAGTATCCACATCAACGTCAGGTAAGTATCTCGATCCTCCTCAATCATCCTCAGATCCCGATCTCCCTCCTTGTCGCGACCAATCACTCAGTGTAGACAGCGTGGCCAATGCCACATCAGCGATGAAGACAGGTGGCATGCTCCACATCAGCAATGTAGACAGGTGGCATGCGCCACATCAGCAATGTAGACAGGTGGCATGCACCACATCAGCATAGGCTGGCGCTCAGCAGAGGAGGCGCCAGCGTGCTGCCTCAGTCCCGCATCGTTGTCCACAGTGTCAGCGCTTAGCCAGCATCAAGCCAGCGTCCATCCAGCGTCCATCCAGCGTCGAGCCAGCGTCAAGGCAGCATAGCAAGACTGAATGTTGACTCCCTGGAGACCAAGCCTTATGTAATGTTTGACGAGGCAGACTGGCCTCAGGTCTCCCACCCACGGTGGCTCAGATTGGCTCACAGCCGAGGGCCTGGATTGTATACAGTTGCAGACTTCCACTTCTTCTTGATGCTGTCTTGGTACCTGCATACAAACACGTGAGTGTGTCTGTCCGGCGGCCTGGGCTGGGTCCATCTTGACTTTGACGGTAGGACCTTAGGCAGTTGACCGAAGTCAACTGTCGGGCGCTGAGGCCCTGGGGCTATTTTGAAGGGCCCTTCTGCCCCTTTGACCTCTCGGCCAGAAGCTGGGGTCGCGGCCTGTGGGCCCCTTAGCCATTCAACGAGGCATAATGAATGAGTTAATGCAATATGTACTAGGAGCTAACCCTCACACACCTTGTTCTTTTGGGAAAAATAGAGTACAGAACAGATAGAGCAGCCACTTTATGCAGAATGCTAAACATTACAGCAAAGCACTATGTCCCTTGTCCTCTTCCTCACAATCTCAACATGATGACTAGGGTGACAACATTGCGGCAGTCTGCATTTGTTTCAGATATCGATTTAATCATTGTTATGGGATGGATTTCTATCGGTAAGCATTGGAAAAAAGGAAAAGAAGAGGAGAGCACTGTGATTGAGACCTCACTTGACGACCTTCATGACTGAGAGTCTTAGGTTGGTGCACTCCTCATTGTCTTCTTCATCATCGTCGTTGTCTTCTTCTTCATCGTCATCTTCCTTGTCGTCGCCGATGTCGTCTTTGTCTTCTTCTTCTTCTTCTTCTTTTCTTCTTTTCTTCTTCTTCTTCTTCTTCTTCTTCTGCTCCTTGGCTAGGTTCGCCAAGGTTGTGGATGGTCCCTGGAGATCTTGGATCTCGCAGGTTTACCCCCACTTGGAGTCCACTTATGCATGAACTGCATGGGGTATGCTCGAATATGGAACTACCTTCGTCTTTGTGGGCCAAGTGTCTGATTTCGTTCTGCTGGTCTTTTTTCTCTGGATCTGCCTGTGATCCTGGCTAGATTCATTAGCAGATCGGCGGTGAGTGCAAAAAATGTAGGAAGGATTTGAAAATAGAAATAGAAAATATAAATATAAATTTCTGAACCTGGGCCCTGCATTTTTGGGCGCGTAGGTTGTAGTACTTCAATCAATCGATTCGTGTGACGAGTATAAGTGAGGCAAACGCGACATGATCACCCTGATGTATGTTGCACTAGTGCAGCGTAGCACAATTGTTTTTGCTATTTTGTGCTCTGGCTGTGTGGGTTGATCCGTGCGTGTACACTATGGTGCTCTTGTACGTGGGCGCTATGACGAAAAGAAATGGGAAATTTGTCAGGGGATGGGATGATTGGCTGTGGTGGGATTAAGGATACGAAGACTGGAACGAGGGTGTGAGGAAAGTAGGAAGGGAGAGAGGTAAGCATGGGAAGTAGACGTTATCGTGATTGCCATGGGCTATAAAATTAGTGGAAGGATTTGTTCCTTCCACGTATCTTTTGGTGGAGGTTGGTCCCTCCCGATGAAACTTGTAATACGGGCAAGCCGAAACGCTTCGAGGGGAAGGCATATTGTGATGGTGTTTGGCACACAGAGACAGTGAGCTGATTGTTTTTCATTTCGTGTTCTGTGTGCTCTCCATAGAACTGGTTTTTTTGCCTCTTTTTTTTCTGCCCACTGTTCTTCTTCGTCTTCTTCTTCTTCTGATTGTTCTTCTCCCACTTCTTCCTCCATTTCGTCTTCTTCAGCTTATTCTTTGGTTGCTTCTTCGGCTTCTTCGGCTTCTTTGGCTTTTTCAGCTTCTTTGGCTTCTTTGGCTTCTTCTGCGGCGTCTTCATCTTCTTCAACTTCTTCTTCTTTGGATTCTTCTCCGACTTCTTTTTTAGCTTCTTCCTCAGCTTCTTCTTCGGCTTTTTTGGCTTCTTCACCCTCTTCGTCTTCTTCTTCTGCACCTTCTTGTCCTCGAGTCGTCTTTTTTTCTTCTCAGCTTCTTCTTCTTCTTGGCTCTGCTTTTCTTCTCCAGCTCCTTCTCCTCGGCTATCCTTTCTTCATCCACACTCAGACATCCATCCCAAGCAAAGATGCCCCTTGTACCTTTTTTTCCACTCCATCAAACACATCGCCAGCGAAGTTCTTCTTCTGCAGCTTCTTCTCCTTGGGTCTCATTGTCTTTTTCTGCGGCTTCATCTCCTTGAGTCCCCTTTTCTTCCTCTGCGGCTTCCTCCTAAACCTTATGGAACATTGGGCCCCGGGGGGAGGGTCATGGTCCGCTGCACGTCAGTAGCACATCCATCCCAAGCAAAGATGCCCCATGTACCTTTTTTTCCACTCCATCAAACACATCGCCAGCGAAGTTCTTCTTCTGCAGCTTCTTCTCCTTGGGTCTCATTGTCTTCTTCTGCGGCTTCGTCTCCTTGAGTCTCCTTCTCTTCCTCTGCGGCTTCCTCCTAACCCTTATGGAACATTGGGCCCCAGGGGGAGGGTCATGGTCTGCTGCACGCGAGTAGCAGGTTGAAGTTTTGTTGAAGGCACTTGGATCATGATGATCCAGGGCCGAGCAAGCACAGAGTGGTATGTTGCGCCTAGTTTTTCACTACGGGCCGGTGAACGAGAGAGGAGCATCAATGGAGCAGGCAGACGATGGGCGTTGATCAAGACGAATATCTTGGAAAGGGGACCCTCCGATTGTAGAGCTTGTCGTTTTCACTGTCGTTTCCATCGTTTCCATCTTTTTGGCTGTCAGCCACATCCTGAACCACTTCGTCCTTAAAAATAAATTAATAAATAAATAAAAATTGTAGTACCTTAGTGCCCTGGTATTATGCCTCGACCCACTACTCACCAAATGTGCAAAATGGGAATGAATCTTAATGGAAGATACACAGCCTTTTTTTTGTCCTGCAGGATGCATGTCGTCACAAGTCGACCCATGCCCGTTGGCCGTTGCGAACCTCTCTCTCTCTCTCTCTCTCTCTCTCTCTCTCTCTCTCTCTCTCTCTCTCTCTCTCT